ACTGTTCGGTGACTGACGGCTCAGTGACTGACGGCTCAGTGACTGACTGCTCAGTGACTGACGGCTCTGTCTCAGAAACAAAATAAATAAAGTGAATGAAGAGAAAAGGAGTTTCCAGAAATAGATCTGAGGCGTTTGATGTTTCTGACAGGAAGAGGAGACGACTTGAGGCTGGAAACAACCGACTGTGGTTTGACGACTCCTCCCGGTTCTAAGAGACACACGTCTTTGTGCAAAAGTCTTCATCCCCCCCTCATTAACACCCAAGATGGCTGCCACTGCCAATTGACCTTCCAAAATACAAATGGCTCCAATTCAGTTTTAATGATATATAACTTATACTTGATGTGGTAGTAGCTGAGGGTCATCACCAGCACATACTCAGAGCTCTATAGATTGTTGCGAACACGATCAGGATCAGTGCTCCTGTATGAGGTGCTCAACATTTTGTTTCCATGGTTACCGATCTGCCTCTCCAGGTCGGAGGCCTCCTCCGGCGTGGCTCGCGGCAGGACGCCGGGGTCGCTGAAGCTCGCCCTGAACAGCATCCCCATCACGAAGACGAAGAGGACGGCGCCGACCGCCGGGATGGCCGGGGTCAGGTGGGACGCCAGGAAGGGACAGCTGAGGACACGGAGACAAAGACAGAGACGTCCTCAGAAAAAAGTCCAAATAAAGACAAAAATCTTGCATTTAATTTAATAAAATGTTTTTATTGAAACTTTGATTTTAATGTGAAGATTGTTTAAGATTAACGTTTTAAACTTTGTTTTATTTATTGAACAAGTCTTTAGGGTCTAAGAGTCGGGGGTCTCAAGGTCCTGCAGGGGTCCATAAGTTCAAAACTAACTTCTAACCATGAATTAATTTAATCTGAGAGTTTTTAATCATTTGTAACTAAAATCGTTTTAATTCATAAAAACAGAAGTTTTTCTTCTTTTTGTGTTAAATATTTAACATTTCTGAAACTTGGTGGTTCTGTTCGAGCCGGTTCCTCTGAGAGCCGAACCTTTGGGTCCGAACCTTTGGGTCCGAACCTTTGGGTCCGAACCTGTGGACTCACTCGAAGGTGAAGAAGAGGCCGCAGGTGAGCAGGATCAGGACCAGGGTCAGGTAGAAGACCCCGGTCTGCCGGGCCATCATGATCCTGCCGTCGCAGTAGAACCGGTTCCTCCCCGGGAACACCTGCCACTTCCTGCGGGGGGTTCGGCTGAGCTGGACCGGGCCGGGGGTCGGGGAGGTGCCGGCGGAGGGCGGGGAGGTGCAGATCAGGCTGTACCGACCCGGTTCGTCCGGAGCGGTCTGCTGGATCTCAGACATGAGTCCTCCAGGTGAGCGGCGCGCGGGCGGGAGATCAAAGGGTGTCAGGGCGATGCGCGCGGAACTCTCGAGCCCGTTTTTTCTTTCACGAGCCCAAAACAAAACAAGAATATGTTTTAATTATTATTTCGTAAACGAACTCGTGGTTGGACTCACGCGCGCTGGAACCCCCGGTCTGGGACCCAATCAGCGCTCTTCTGGTCCCGACCCAAGGCTATGTCCGGGGTTAACGGTTCCGGTTCTGGACAGGAGTGGTGCGTGATTCGGTCGGGAAACGGGAGCGGCTCTGGTGGTTCAGATGGTCTGTATCAGTGAGGAGGAGGAGGAGGATGAAGGAGGAGGTGAAGAACATCATGATTCTCCGCAGAGCTGCTGGAGCCTGCACAGATCCTGTACTGACGAGATGCGCAGCTCCGCAGGGAAAAAAGAAACCGAACATGTTCACAGATGCTGAGTGAGACCTCCTCGTTTCTACTTTCACTTTGAAGCAAAAATAGACGATCTTTGTTTCGAAATCAGACTTAAGTTAATTAAAAAAAAAGAAAGAGCACATTTGACTTAAATTGATTTAAACTTGTAAAAGAAAACCCAGGAAGTATTTTTCATAACAGCGTTTTCTTTTTAAATAAAAAATGAAATGCGCGTTCCGGGCTTGCTTGTTTGAGCCCGGTGGTTTTACGGAGGCGGACCGAAGCAGAATGACAACAGTCGTTGACGAAGACTCGGGTGTTGGAGATGAAGGCAAAGGCGCTGAAGAGGTCAAAGTGCAGACGCTAAAAGGTTAGTTTGTGGTTAACCTGTTAACTCTGGTTTCCGGTTGTCGATTGATCTGTTTTTGTCCCCTGAGGTCAAAACAAAGTGGAACATGTTGAACCAAAGTCCGGTCAAAAAACGACCGATTTACGGATCACGTCCTCCGCTTTACAGCTAAACGTGTTGGAACTGCGAGGAGTTTATGAAAGACTTTATTAAAGTATCTGTGACCGAACAGCAGTCTGTTTATTTACAACGTGTTTAGGTTGACAAATAATACTAAAATATGTTTTTAATGTAAACAACCTGACAGAATAATAACTCTTTCATCTGAGGCAGGAGGAGTAACTTAAATGAGCTAAAACAACAATTAAACAAAGTTTTTTTATTTTGCTGCAGATATGATTAAGGGTTAATACTGCTCGCTTAACGTTTTAACTAAAGTTTTTAACTGAAGTTCTCTCTTGTAAATGAGGCTCAGTGACAATAAATAAAGGTTGAATGAACAATTAAGGTTTTATATTTCGAAAACAAAGGTACTGAACCACATGAACAATGACGTCATGGTAAGTGATCTTCATCACGCACATCAGGTTATTGTTGCATTTGACCAAAGTTCAAACATTTTAAGTAAAACCTCATCGTTCGTCCATGTGGAGCTGTTGGTTCTGAGCTGTAAAATGTTTCAGGACTGCAGACTGAAGTGGGTCAAACCAGAGGGTCCAGAACCAGGTCGGCCGGACCTTGTAGAACCTTGTGTTGTTGTTGACACCAAATGGTTTTAGTCAATCATGTAAAACAACAGGTTTAAACACACCTGGGGGAGAAGTTCTTTTCTCCAGAATGAAAGGGGGCGTGGCCTCCTGTATTTCCGCCTGACTGTGACGTCATAGCTTACCTGGTGTTCTGTTCACAGGTGTGGCGTTTCTGACCACGGTGGCGTCCGCAGGAATGATCGCAGGGTTCGGCTCCACGCTGGCGCTGGCCAAGAAGAAGAGCCCGGAGTGGTTTGGTAAGGTAGGTTCTGTCTCTCAGGTGAGCTCTGGGACGTGGTGCCACCTGTCAGGTGCAGTAACAATAACACCGCCAACAAAAACGGTCCCGTCAGGCAGGATCATCATGAACACGTTTATTTTCTTGTTTATTTGCTGCGGACCTGAGAACGTTTCAGAGCCCGGGTCTGATGGTTCGTGTTCCTGAGCGGAACAATCCGGTGTTTGTTCCTGGACTCGTCTTTGTAGCGACTCTCAGGCGTCGCGGCTGCTTCGTTAAAGCTTCACTTTTATAGAAACTATTTCAGCTCTGAGGAGAACAACGTTTTTATTTTTAACTCCATGTGCAGAGATCAGTCTGTTAAAGGTATCGTCACATCCCAGAACAAACTAAAAACTTGAATCAGACGTTTTCTCAGCCTTCGTTTAAGTTCCTCGTAGAGAAAAGTTCTCTCGGGTTTTGGTTCCTGATCAGTCAGAGCTTCAAGATCCAGTTCTGTCATGGTCCAGATCTTATTTGTCTGACAGGTTTTTTTCCTTATCCATTACAGTATTCCTGTTTTCTTCATTGGCACCTGTTGGTTGTGGTGGACCTCAAGGGTCCATGTTGGGCCCAGTTTGGTTTTCCTTATACCTTCTGCCTTTGATATCTATATTCAACAAGTAACACGTCTTACATGTTGATTCAAATATATTTCCCATCTAACCTGGATGCCTCTGCCCCTCTTTAAATGGTTTGGCACCCAAATATTTAACTGAACTTGACTTTTATAACCCAAACAGGGTTCAGAGGTCCTCCAGCCAGATGTTTTATGTGCAGCCGAGAGCTGACTTAAAACTCAGAGGGGATCGGATCCCCAGACTCTGGACCATCCTGACCCCTAATATTTGTACTACAGAATCTTTTACACCTGAAAACTCGTTTCTTTCCTCTGGTTTTATTTAGAGTTTAGTTTGAGTTCAGATCTTTTACATTGTGGAGTTTCCTTGATTTATTTTGTTTAGTTTGTTTTATTGTTCTTGTTGGTTTTTCTGAGATGTTACTGAATTTATTTAGTTTTTATCAACTTGTAAAACACTTAGTTTTTATATAAAATAAATTTGACATTTCACAACCCATGATGTCACAGGGAGGAGGAGCCTCAGATTGTGTGTCAGTCTGATTGGACGGCAGTTAGAGAAGGTAGAGCTCTGATTGGACGGCAGTTA